TATTTTTTCTTCCACTTGTGTAGCAACAGGCTCAAGCTTGTCTTCCACTCCGGCCCCTGTTTCCAAAACTTGAGCCTCTTTCACCACCTCTCCTTCTGATTCTGTCGGAGGATCAGTCTCATCTGTGTTGCTTGTTTTGTCAATAGTTTCAGTTGATGCTTCTGGAATGTCTTCTGTCTTGGGTTGCGATTGTTTCTCCTTATCTGTTTCCACAGCTTCATTTTCTAGTTTCTGTGGTGGTGTTTCTTCCACACTGAGTTCTGTGGATGTTGCCACATCTGGCTGGGAATTGGCTGCATCATGAACTGGTTCAATATCACTGATAGTGTGCGAGGCCGGAACCACTTCCTTCTCCTCCTTTAGTTTATCTTCGTCTGCAATTGTTGCTTCTGGTGGCAGTGAATATTCAGTGTTTTGTACTGCAATAGCAGGCTCAACCTTGTGATCAACTTCTTCTGTTGGAGTTGGTGTTGAACTTTGTGCATCCTCAACCTTGTGATGGTCCAGAGTATCTTCAGCAGATTGTTCTTCCTCAACTGCAGCAAGCTCTGCCGTCACCTTATCTTCTGTCTTATTTGAAGAGGTGTCCTCAGATTTGTCGTCTCCGTCAGGCTTGTCATGCTTGACTTCATCTTCATTGGCTAAAGAAGCGATCATTTGTGCAATGCCTTCGTCTTTTTCCTTCTTCACGTATTGCTATATAATAAAGATGAAAAGGCATTGATGATTAACAAACCATGAATGTAAGTACAAATAACAAAGTATGAACAAGTAAGAAGGCGTGCCACAGAAATCACAGCTTTTTCCATCAACTCCAATCAACAACATACTTTGATTTAGTAGTAGTTCCTCAGATACCAAACTCAAAGATATAGGCACTACCTTGATTTGCACTAAATGCACATCTACACAGGACACAACTTTTTCTGACATGCAATGGCAACAATGGCGGTACCTTGATCTGCCATTTCCTTATGGAAAGGTATCTACTTATCTTGCATAACAATCTACTACAGGCAATGATGGAAAAAGTGGGGAGGCACGTTGCAAAAGTTTTTTAGCAATACACAATTTTATTTGGTTTTTGTCTTGACCACCTTTCTTTCTTTTCTATAAAAGATGTTGGATTGACAGTTTTTTATGTACAAAATAACCTTGAATAGTCTCCACATTTATTTAAACAATACCAGAACTTTAGGCTTTATATATTATCAAAATTTTCTTATTATTTACAATGTGCAACATTAACTTTATTATTACATGTGAGACATATTACTAAAGAAATATTATTCTCAAAACTTTACGACATTTTCTCAAACTTCCATGGGTTTAATATTATGAAAATTCTAAAACTTTTATATATAAGAAAATCTTTTACCAGAACTATAAATTTAGTTTAGGCAAAACACATTAAGCAGAAACATAATTAATTATTTTTTTAATTATATATTTTTTGGCCTCACTAATTTTCTAGATCCGGCTTTGGTAGATTACAGGTGTATTTTCTAGAAAAGATGTTGATCAAATTCATTTCCGTTTTCATTTTTACAAAATTTTAAGGTATGCACCTTCACCAGCCACTTCAATATTTTTTTTATATATAAAAGAAATACATGAATAATTTTATAGAACTCAAAAAATCTTCTTTGAAAGCTATTATGCAAATCCTTAATAATCAATTACGATTGGAGATGAAAAAAGAGTTTGAACAAAGTGTCAAAGCAGAACAAACTTTTTGACTCTTGTCCATGTTCATGAATGCTCTGATGAAAACAAATTCATGCGTATAACAAGTTTAAAAACAAATCACTATGTTTTTTTATCAGCAAACAAATCACAACATTTGCTGACAGTTTAGCAACTGAGTAAAGATATGAAAGCTAGATTCTGAGAAAGAATCATAAAAGAACTTAGAATTGAGGACAGATGCTACAGAAAGAAGTTGAAGATCATGATGATGTATTTGAAAAGTGAGAAAATAAAAATGAACAGACCTGATCAGTAGCAGAAGCATGATCAGATGCAGCAGTCTGAGTAGCCATGATCACCTTGGAAGTGTTTGGAGAAGTTGAGGTAGAGAAAGAAATAAAGAAAGTATGTGGTGAGAGGAATAATTTGGTTGGCAAGAACTCCTGGAAAAGAAGGAAAACCAGTTGAACTTTAGGAAGAAGAACAACTAGTTTTCCACAGAAAAAAGCAGAAACATAGATGTTTGACAGACTGTATCACATGAGCTGGTAAGGTGGTCTCAATGATTTAGGAGGATTAGGATTAAGGTGCCACTAAAGTTTTCCCATTAAAAACAAAAAAGTATAAAATAAAAAAGTTGATCACATAGCTGTGACAGTGGCAAAGTAACTAGCTTTATTGGGGACCAGATCAGTGGCAGCAAACTCATACACTTAACCTCTGAAAATGTTTGGGCCCTCTCCTCAAACCCTTCTGCTTATTAAGATTCCTGTACGTCATTAACCTTAATTAAATTAAATTTCATCAACAAATTATGGAAACCATAAATCAACACTCATATATCAGGCCAAAACCTAAGGATCCACTGGCTATTACTAACTTATAATATTATACAACTTGTTTCTTTTAAATTAAACTTCCTTTTTTGTCAGTTTTGTTCAACCAATTTCTCTTAATCATTCATAATTGTATACAAACAATGATTAAGAGAAATTATAATGTACAAATTAGTCACCTTGAAATTTTTTCTAAATAGTTATGTTCACTTGGGTCATGATTATTATTTGGATAACATTCTACCTTGTTTTTATATGTATACCAAAATCGACGGTTAAGGAAAACTGTCGTACTAATTCGCTTAAAAATGATGAAACAGATAAGCTCATGATTTGAGGTCGTGTTTTGTTCTACGTTAGGATGATAAATTTGCTTAAGTTTTCAAACTTGTATTAAGACGTACTACTTCGATGAAAATGATGCTGCCTCATTTCACTTTATTGGTGTTCGCATGTTTTGCATCATAGGGTATACCCCCTGTTCCCCCTCTTTTGCTTCGAATTTTTCTCCATCATTTTCTATTTTTTCTTTATTAATATTATATTGTTTCGATCAACTTTATGCATGCCCCCCAAAAATTAACGATTAAACGTTAGAAAAGAAAAAAGTAATACTTTCCTTGCTTGACAAACTTTTTCATAAAACTCAAGATGTTTTTTTTGGTATTATACATAGTTAGAAATAAAACAAATTTATAATATATAAATAGATACAAATTTTACTTAAATTTATTTTTATATAGAATTAAATTTGACTGAAAATTCATTTCTTAATGTAATTAATTTGGTTAGATTAACATGTATATGTTTTTGTTTGTTTGAGTCTTAACCTAATAATGTTGTGAATTTAAAAGGAAAATGAGTATTCTGAAGTGACAAGTATCATGAGTCATTGGTCATGACAGCTGCCACAGCCATGTTTTTAAAGATAGAAGACCAGTGTGCAAGAGATTTGTTGAAAAAATTATGAGTTCTCAATTCCACAAAAAATGCAAAGAAGCCCACCTTCTTTAGCTATTGAGCTGGTTCTCCTGCACATGTCCCCCCATCTTTGGAATCTTCCATTTCTGAACTCCTTCACTGTAAGAGTCAAGGTGGTCCTTCAACACTTAAGCCTCTAATTAATTTTCACGAAATAATTACGAGAGAGAACATTATGGGCAGGAACATTCATGCTTGAAAGGTATTGATTAGGTGGAAATTTATATAGAGACCCAACTTGACCATTAATTGTCTCCAAAAGAAAAAACGACTCTTCCACACAGAAAAGGAAATTAACAATTCGTTTAAGCCAGACAAGATTCATGTTTGGCCTTTCATTTCACTTTATAATGTTTTTTCGTTTTGATATTTTCGGCATCTAGAAGTCACATTTGACTTGGACCTAATTAACCAAGTTTTTCTGTTTTAAAAAAATGTTAATGGATTTTAATCTAAGTGATTTATGATGATATCTTTCGTTCACAAGGGATTCATATTTATTAAAGACTTTGTTATATAGTTAAAGCTGCCTAGTACTTGAACTATAACATGTGTTGGGTTTGATTTTATTATGTGTACTCTTTGCTTGTGATCACAAGTTTGGTGTTTGTTCGTAAAACTAAAACTAAAACTTTACACCACCAAATAATTAAACTTTTCTCCTTTTTCAATGGAGAATGCCGACGAGTGTATGTATGGATACATTTCTTTTTTCCTTTTCCTTTTGGACTCGCTTGATTTGCTTCTATATATGCCTTGTGTGAATCCTCTCAGATTTCAGTTTTTTGTGAAGTTGACAGATATTGGTGGAGCAGAAGTTAAGAAAATGATGTTACAAAAGTAGGTTATTAGGGCATGGATGAGAGATGAAGTTGTTTACACAGTAAAGTGTTGGAGTTTGGTGAAGTGAAGATGTGCAACAAAATTGGGTCAGTGTTGCTTGTTAAGGTTCATTTTGGATCCACAGCTTTTAGAGCAACTGAAGTAGATCTTGCTTTAATGGCTGATAATTATAAAGATTGTGTATTTAGCTAAATTGAGAAGCTAGTTAATGGTTTATCAATGTTGGTGGCAGTTAGATCCGTGAGATTTGATGTTTTCTTTGTTACATTTTTTTAAATTATTTATGATAAATTCGATCTTATGCATATATTGTTGGAAGAAGAAATTTAACAAAGAGATGAGATGTAAATCCAATAATATAAATATCACTCTTTATTTAAAACTTTAAGATAATAGATTAACTACTCTTTGAAACTTCTATATAACGTTGTATTTTATAAAACGATTCACAACAAATTATTTGTACAGAGAGAAGAATGATTGAGATAGGCAGAATTGTGCATGATGTCAGCTACAACACCCAACAGGCTGCATTAAATCATATTCTTGCTCCATCTCCAAACACAAACCACATCTTTTCTATTGTCGACCCAACTTCAGATATTATTTCTGTTTTGCCATTTTCATTTCATTTTTCAAAAGTTTTATCTGATAGAGAGCTTTGGGTTTGGGCCCATATGGTTTTTTGTTCGGTTCAAATCATATATAAATCGTCAAGATCATGTTACTTAGTTGCTTTTGTTTTCTGACGTTTTCTGACAAGTATATGTAGTTAAAATGTTTCAAATATTATTTTTCTACCAAAAAATGAAAATCTTATCTCAATAATAGATTGAGTTTTAGTGCAAACTTTTGTAACATGGATTATTAAAAAATCCTTTAATTGTAACAGTAAGAAAAGACTGCACATAAAAATATTACATGTAAAAATTACTTTTTATAAGGAATATTTATACATTATAATTCATCAAATATAAATATTATAATTCATCAAATATAAAAAGGAATATTTATACATACTATAATTCATCAAATATAAATATAAAAAATAGTGTGATGCTAATGTTACACGATAGTTATAGAAAATAGACATGACAATATTTTTTGTAATAAATATAATAATTTTTTATACCAAATCTAATTATAATTGATATATAAAGTGAATGCGATAATATTTTTATAATAAATTTATTTTCTACAACTGTTAATTATAAACTGTATAAAAAGTGAACGTATTAATATTTTTGTAATAAATAAGATAATTTTTAATACTTATTTTAATTATAATTGGTATAAAAGGTGGATAGATGAATATTTTTATAATAAATAGAAAAATTTTCTACAGTGATTTTAATTATAAGTGATATAAAAGTTAGTTTTTTTTTTTTTTTTTATTTTAAAACAGAGGATTCTCAAGTTCTTAATTGTCATTTTCTTATTTCTCCTTTCTCATTATTGTCTCTTCTCTTCTGTGAAATTTGAACCAAATCTCCTTCTCTTTCACCATCATGCTTGCTGTCATTTCCTGTCATCCATTCTTCCGTGATGTTGTGCAATGACTTCTACATTATATATAACTTAGATCTCGTTCATGATGGTGGGTTCTATCTTCCATTATGTGATTAATAAAATATTATTTAATATTGAGTCTTTTTTTAAGATGTATATTTCTCGATATGATATGAGTACGTTAATTAAAAGTCTATAAATATACATAAATTTTACCTAACATGGTACTTTAGAGTCTACTTAAGTATAAAGTCCTCGCATTCATTTTCTTGAATATTCCATCTAATAAGATTTTGTTTTACTTTTAACCAGAGGGGGAAAGTGGCGGAGGTATAAAAGGACTGACTGCACAATTAGTTAAAGAGGAATTGGACGACAGAATAATAACTGGCCAAGTTAGACACATACAACACATAGAAGGTTTTTTCAAAATTTGTAGTTTCTCTCTCAATCTCCATTATCAGGGAAGCCAAAAGAACAAGGAGAGACATCAATTATTTTTGTATACAACTTTATATCAATTTTGGTTTAAATTTATTCTAACTCACAACTACTCATATTTAATTCATTACACGAAATATATTATTAAGCTATTACATTTTGAATTGCAATTTATATAAGGTTAACTCACAAAATCTTAAATTATTTTGAATCAAGTTTAATGAATGTATTAGAAAGTCGGTTTAAGCTTAACTCAACCCACAAAACCGGTTTGTAAGGTGAGGTTTGCACCTCACTTATATATTATAATTTGGCCTTATCTCTAGTCGATGTGGGACTTCCAACACACCCCCTTANATTCGATCTTATGCATATATTGTTGGAAGAAGAAATTTAACAAAGAGATGAGATGTAAATCCAATAATATAAATATCACTCTTTATTTAAAACTTTTAAGATAATAGATTATAAAACGATTCACAACAAAAATTATTTGTACAGAGAGAAGAATGGTTGAGATTGGCAGAGCTGCAGCTTTGTTCTCTTGCGCAGCCCACTAGAATTGTGCATGATGTCAGCTACAACACCCAACAGGCTGCATTAAATCATATTCTTGCTCCAACTCCAAACACAAACCACATCTTTTCTATTGTCGACCCAACTTCAGATATTATTTCTGTTTTGCCATTTTCATTTCTTTTTTCAAAAGTTTTATCTGATAGGGAGCTTTGGGTTTGGGCCCATATGGTTTTCTGTTCAGTTCAAATCATATATAAATTGTCAAGATCATGTTACTTAGTTGCTTTTGTTTTCTGACAAGTATATGTAGTTAAAATGTTTCAAATATTATTTTTCTACCAAAAAATGAAAATCTTATCTCAATAATAGGTTGAGTTTTAGTGCAAACTTTTGTAACATATATTATTAAAAAATCCTTTAATTGTAACAATAAGGAAAGACTGCACATAAAAAAATTACATGTAAAAATTACTTTTTATAAAGAATATTTATACATATTATAATTCATCAAATATAAATATTATA